TCTATTGGTGTAACTTTCTAGGAGGTCACCATATGAAAATTTCTTTATGATGAATATACTTAACTATAGAGTTTCTTAATAAAATTACAACCATTATGTCGAAAGACGCCTCGATATTTAAGAGTTTAGCTTCTTTTACTTAAAGGGTTTCACAATGCAGGATACGCTTGTCATGTTAGGCACAAGGGTTCAAAGATCGTGGATCAGGTTGCTCAAGTTGTAGCACGCGAAGCAAAGAATAAGATACCATAAGTTTGCGGCAAGAAAATTGGCGATCTTCGGGTGGAGTTTGGGAAGATGCTCATATGGATGTGCATGCTGGCATGTAAGCTCCAGGCGGTCGAGTGTGCAGGATCAAGCAGGAGGTTAATGTCACGCAGGAGATGTTGGGGTCAAGTTGCGCTTTGCTTGCAAAGATGTACATCGAACTGGTGGATGAGTCTTGTATGTAGTTTGACAGAGTCCAAACTGAGACAAAAAAAAAAAAAGGCTACGAGAGTGCTTGGGGCTTGAAATAGACAGGTGACCCGGGCGTGATAGCTGGGAAAGGTTTTATCCTCTTATCATGTAATTCTTATTTCTCCTATTGCATTTGAATAAGATGCCAATGTATATGGGCAAGAATTGATTGGCCTAAGTAATTCTCTTTTACTTCTTGACTTGGTTCTATGTTCTTATTTTTCCTCCATATTTTACGCGCTACCGAGCATGATTTAATTCAGATGGTAAATCTCAGTCCAATCAAGAAGAAGCAAGGCTAAAATTTAGACAGGGATCCTTCTCTTGGTCTTGGCAGGAAGTCTAACAAAGGGAAAAAGGTGTAGATGATGTAACCAGCGGTGCATGAATCAAGATCCTTCCTCCTAGATTTGTTGGAGGGCATATGGGTGCCCGGGGAAGATGGGCAAATCGGACGGTGCTCATTGCTAGAGCACGATCATGCTCAGCTGGAGCAGGTGATGTACAAGGCATGATAGTGTAAATCACGGGAGGAACAATGACATGCACATACACGTGTGGGTTATAAAGTGCGGGAATACTAGCTGGGGCCGTGGATCGTAATGCATGATGGAGGAAGGGCACGAGTGAGATTGGGCTCAGCTTGGATGGTTTTCTCATGGAGTTAGTGCAAGGAGATGATCAAATTGCAGTAGGAGTAGATTCTTGAGAATAGGTGGATGATATTCATTGTAAAATTTGGACCAAGGTGGAGATTCTTATGATTGGGCCAGTTTTAGGTTAAGTTGTTGTGCAAGACATTACAACGTTGTCAATGCCTATATATAGATGTTATAGGTTGATGTATTGGTGGGGAAAATTGAATAAAGCTTAGTGTTATTTTCCTACCAATCCTATGTGCCCCTCCCTACCCTCTCTCCCTCTACAATCATGAATCTCACTTCCTCCAAAGAAATCCCAATTTTTTATTAAGTGTATGTAAATTTATTTTCAATCATTTTATCTTTAATAGATGTCACTTTAATCACTCTTCTAATATAATTATTCATGATTTTATCATTTTATGTTCTTTCACACGTCCATCTTCACATTTTTTTTTTTTAATTTTCTATCTTCACATTCCATCTTTTATATTGCTCAACTTAATTTGCTATAAATAAAATTTTTTATTATCAAAACTCAAATTTATATAATATTGGTGTAGTTATATATATATATATATAATGTTTCATTTCATTTTACTAGGTATTTCATGCATAAAAAATTAGAAACTGTCATCTAAGAAAGCAAATATCAAGACAATTTATTTTGAATTTATTTAATATACCTCTTTATAACAATTATATAAATATATGAACTAAATGCAATTATTAATATATTCCTAGTTAACTGCATAGGTCACAATAAATAAATTTCATATCACATATTTAAAATCAATATAATTTGATGGCATGGCCCATCTTCACCAACGAAGCCAGTGACAGTCGTTGCTAACAAGGCAACTCATACTATCAACTTTGATAATGTTGTTTGTCATTTTTTATCATGATTAATATCCGACTCTTTTGATTTCCACTTAAATAAAGAGAATAACCAATTAAACCACATGTTAATTCTTGATCCCTTAAGGCTCTTTAAACTTTCAAGATAGGATATCATTTGCAACCTATAACTCACATTAATAAAATCATTTCAATGAAATTATATTAGACCCTATGATTTTTCTCCTTCCCAATTTTTTTTTTTTTTTTTGAAAAATCGCATGGCTTTTTGGAATTTTTTCATATCTTTTATATGTTTGTAGGATCTTCTTTACAACACTATGATGATAAAACACTTTCTACAATTGGAAATGGCCTGGCAAATAATAGGTTGGTGTCATCTGTTGGAAATGATTCTAAGTTGGGAAGATTCCCTAGCTACAAACCTTAAAATGACTTTCACGTCAATGTATTTAGATATTATTTGGAACTGTTTTTTTACTGCTTCTTAAAGCAGCTTTTAATATAAAATTTTTAATTTTTGTACTAAAAAATTATTTTAAGAAGAATTAAGAAAACCGTTACAAATGAAGCCTTAGTGGGCTATTCTTTTTTCATCCATTGATCTATTAGTTCTAAACGAAGCACATCAAGATAAGTACTAGATTTTTTATGTGTGAATAGAGCTATAAAAATCATTCCAATTTTATAACATTTATAATTTCTCTTAAAATGGGATTTTCAGTTTGGATCTCTTCGTTTACATAAAAGAAAGGTAGATCTCCTAATTTGATTACTTTTGTCTTCTTTTTAGAATTGCTTACTATTCTGATCATAGAGATTGATTTAATAAATATATAAATATTGTGCCAACTAAGCAATTCCAGTGTGTGCCTAATCACACCGACCCCACCACCTCTCAATAATGCTGCAAGTTTTGGCCGGTTTTTATGCTGCGTGATTGTTAAAAAAAAATATATATGAGAAAAAAATTCAAACATAATATTTTTTTAGTATCAAATTTAAATTAAATTAAATGATTTTTAATTTATTGAATGCTAAAATATTTTCACATAATTTTTATTTCGAGATTATTCTCTCCTTTTGACACTAATTTTTTAATCTAAGGTAAAAATTAATTATATAAATATTAATAAATAAAACCCACATGCACTTATTGTTGCGGACTGATAAAATTCATGATAATAGAGGGAGAGAGGTTTTCGTCTTAGCTATGCAGGAATATCCTGCATGCAAACAAATAATTCAAAGAGTAAGGGAGCACCATAAAATTTTATGTGGAAAATCCAGAAAGGAAAAAATCACTGGGTATATTGCCTAGGACTAGATATTCTACTATACTTGAGTGAGTTACAAATGTTGACTCATCCCTTAACTTTGAAAACGGTAAATTATAATAGTTTCGAGTGTTGGTCCGACTTCATATGGGTACTCAAGAGTTTGTAATGACTGTAATTAGACAACATAACCTGAAAGTCTGGTAGCAGTGATTAGGAGAAGGTCCAATAGAGGTCGACGGCCAATTGGAGGATCAATAGCGGTCGGTTGATAGGGCGGAGGTACAGTGTCGATCAGTGGCTAAGCAGAGGTCTAGCGGCAGCCGAAGGCCGAGCAGAAGTTCGGCGGTTGGCAGCTAGGTGGAGATTTGATGTCAATCAGTGGTCAGGCAAAGGTCCCGCGGAGGTCCGATGGCGATCGGTGGTCGGGCGGAGATTCAATGAAGGTCAAGCGAATAGAAGGAGATCTGGTGGTGGTTGGTCAACAGAAGACCACTCACAGTGGTGCTCAGGTGGAGCTCTAAAATCCAACTTGAAGGTTCAAAGCTTTCTCCAATCTCTAGGCAAAAAGTTCGTCCTCATGCAGAATTGGGAGTCTATTTATAGATTTTAGTTGTGACATATTTCATAAATATAGAGAAGATCCAAAGCAAATTCAGAGTTCTCCATCGGACGACCCGTATTGATTCCCTCAATCATACAACATTCATTTAGTATTAAATAGCCTTAATGATGTCCGAATGAACGGGCTTTGGGCTTGTTGCAATTCTTCGAGCTGCTCGATTCGACTATAAGCATACTATATTTTGATATCATTTAATCATCTAATTAATGCTCTAAAGCTTTTGAATATACTTTAAGCCTTTGATTTGAGCCCATTTTGGCTCGGATTGAACAAATTTTGTTTCATTGAGTTTGTCTTGTTGAGATGTTCAACCCAACTATAAATTTGTTGAAATCAGAGTTTAGATTGTCTCAAATTTAATTTTGAAAATTCCCAATTCAAATATACATCAAGATTCACGTCTGAACAAAATAATTTTTGCTGATGTATCACGTGAGCCTTTTCTTTTTTTTAGTCAGCTTTACACAAACCAAGCAAAGAATGACACATCCCCAAAACTGCCTCAAACGAGTTGGTCATCTGATTCACATGGAAAGAAAAGAGGGCCAATCAGGCCTTTAAAATTGGCAAAAACTCTTATGAACTAAGATTTGGTAAATAATTGTGTACTAAAAATGATTTATATATAAACATATGCAAATAAAAAAAGTTTTAATTATTAAATATATGCAATAAATTTTAATTGAATCATTATAATCTCTATTAATAATCTTTCAACATGAAAATCTTTCATCAGATCTTAAATTAAGCATGACTAAGAATAATTATTTTGCAACACGTTCATTTCAATAATTGTGACTAGCATGAAATAATGGTTGCAATAGTCAAGCTCCTAATGTGCAGCCAAATTTGCAATAGAGGTTTCATCTAGAACTTTTTTTTTTATTATTTTATATAGTTGCTGCAGAAAAAATAATTTTTAAAATTATTATAAAAAATAATTTTTAAAATTATTATAGAAAATAATATTTTAACACAAAATTTTTTATAAAACAGCATAAAAATAATGGTCAATCAAATAATATAATTATAATCTGAAATATAAAATAGAAAAAAAATTATTCCAAATAAAACCTGAATCTTTCATAACAACCCAGAAGACCGGGCTGCAAGAGTCCAAACGTCATAACGTTCTTCTCATCCCAGCTTTCAGATAAGTTGCGGGGGCTGCCGCAATGATCATAACTCAAAAACTACCAATCTGTCAATAAAGCCATATTCCTTACCTCTACTTGTAAAAATCATTCATTCACGTGTTTCTTGCAATTTTTTTGTCTGTTTTAGGAAATGTCATCAAGTTCCCACATGAACACATTGATTAAAGCTTCAAGAATGAGCGAGAGATGAATCATCAAGTATAAGAGGCCATGAGATAGCTCTCCTTAGCTGCGAGAACCTTTGAGCAGAAACTGAGGAAGATACAAATCTGACAGAAGAAAGAAATGTTGGAGCTAATTGGGGGTTTGTCTATTGATTTGAAAGGCATTGAAGTTGTATTAGCTACGAAATGGAAGCAGATAAGAATGATTATAGTGGCGCCATTGTTGAGAGTTGCAGTGTTAATTTGCTTGGTAATGACTCTGATGATTTTTGTGGAGAAGTTGCTTGTGGCATTCATTTGTCTTGTTGTCAAGGTGTTTAAATTGAAGCCTGAGAAGCGTTATAAATGGAAGCCAATGAGTCCTGAAACTTCAGATCTAGAGAGTGGCGTTCAGTCCTATCCAATGGTGCTTGTACAGATCCCAATGTACAATGAGAAAGAGGTATGCAAGTTCTCTCTCTTCTCTCTCTCTCTCTCTCTCTCTCTCTCTCTCTCTGCCATTTCTTTTGTTTGGCTCATGGAAAGGGTTGTAGCAGGTGTACAAGCTTTCAATAGGGGCAGCATGCAATTTGGATTGGCCAGCTGACAGAATGATCATTCAAGTGCTGGATGACTCCACTGATCCAGTTGTAAAGGCATGGAATTCTCTCTCTCTCTCTCTCTCTCTCTCTCTCTCTCTCTCTCTCTCTCTCATGTTTATAAAATTAAAATTGAATGCGTTTGATCTATAAATTATTTCATATATAATATATTGCTGTGTTCTGAATTGTATCCGACTCTCCTTGTGAAAGTTTGCTGTATAAACTTCCTTGGCTCTAATTGCTTTCAGTCATCTATCCTTATTTTATTCTACTCACATCACTTCTGATCTTTGGGAGAAATTATTCTGTAAAAACGTCGTTCAGAGATTAATCAGAATGCGTCACGTCAGCAATACCGAACCGTGATACCGAACGGCAACGAGCAGTATCGAACCGCAGTACCGAGCACAGAGATGACATGACGATTCTGATTGAATTATGAACGATGTTTTGCATCCGCACAAAATAATTATTAGATCTTTGATCCCTATTTTTTTATCATAGACGTGGCAGTACTTTGGACCTTCAATATCCCACCCACTATTTCCGTTCTGTTGGCTTCATGTCATTCATTATCAATGCTCTTTAAGTCTTCTATGTTGATTGCATGATACTATTTTCTTTTTCTTGATGTTACGTACCACCTAATCTCTTTTTTTTTTCTTTTACAATCTCTATACTTCCAACACACCAATCATTAATATTTTTAGAAATATATACAAATATCAGAGAACTTTTATGAAAGATCGAGCATTTAAATCTTTAAATCATATAAAAATAGTATTAATTTTATTTTTTAATTGAATTTTATCTTTTTAAGTTTTCTTTTTCATGGGAACATCAGAATATTATATATTAATATAAATAAATATTAAATATAAAAATTAAAAATTGAAATCTGCATCCTCCACTTGTGGTGCATTCTGATTCGCCTCTGGACATCGTTCGTATCCACACAGAATAATTTCACATTCTGAAAAAATAATATAAAACTTAGTTGTCAGTAGCAGATGACCAATTGAGATCATGGCGGCATCTAGAGGTGTCAAAATTGGGTCACCGATCGTTTTGTTGATTATTTATTGAAGGAAATCATAGTCTCAAATACTCTTTTGATCAGATCTAAAATAACCTCTTGACACCCTCAAGAACTTGACAATAACTTTTAAAAAAATTATCAATTAAAATAATTAATATCTATCATATATTTTAGTTATTCTACATTTAAAAATAAATGTATTCTAAAAATATCCAAATCAAAATATTTTATGCTTTATCACTGTTAATCTCGTTCTCTGTTTCTCTATATTTTTTTATATATAATTTAATTATTTATTTGCTGGGTAAATAATGAGCTGTAGTTCATTTCTCGCCATTTTTGTCTGAGCAACACATAATCAGCACGCCGATAAATTCCTTTAAAATTTTTTTAAGAATATTTGTACTTGATTTATGTCTTTTGGGAAACATCTTTGCAGTTTAATCAATCATATCTATCCTTGTCTGAATTTAACTGTCCTTTTCTTTCTTTTTTTTTCTCTTTTTTTTTTTTTTTATTTAAAGTTAAGTGTCGTTTCTCTTACAACTTGTGCAAAATACTTTTGGCATTATATATATATAATCGATAGTGTTAATTAGAGTGGATGTCACTTGTTTGAATATGACCCATAATTTGATTGATAATTATTTTTATATAGGGATGAAATTACTTTGAAATAAGGGCGGGGCGGGACCCACCCTATGTCCGCATCGAAAATTATGTTTTGTTTTTAAGAGATGATAATTTTGAAAATTTGTCACACTTTAAAATTTTTCTTTCAGTTCTGATCCACTGTTTCTCCTATATTACTCATGCTTGTCGGATTGTAGCTTGGACTCCACCTCCCTTACTACCCACTAAAACCCCTTGCCACATCTGCTTTTATGAACGTTTGAAATCAAATTTGTCCACCCTAAAAAATAAAATTGGCTTTATTTATAAAAAATTATAGTTAATTCTCTATATTTCTATTTTTAATTTATAAAATATTTTTTTATAGGTTTGTATTATCAGATTAGAACCTGTGTACTATAAGGTAACAAAAATATTTTCTATACTATTCCACTTAAAGCTTAAAGCAAAAAAGCACTTACCATACCATTCTTACATATTCATTTATCTTTTATTGTAGACTTTAAATGAACTTTGTTTTGAATATTGAAGTGGAATATTTGCAGGATTTGGTGGAGAAAGAATGTAAAATATGGAAGAGCAAAGGCTTGAACATAAGGTATGAGGTCAGAAATAATAGGAAAGGGTACAAAGCCGGTGCTCTGAAAGAAGGAATGACGCATTATTATGTGAAAGATTGTGACTATGTTGCAATGTTTGATGCTGATTTTCAACCAGAATCCGATTTCTTGAAACGAACAGTTCCGTTTCTCATTCATAATCCGCAGATTGCTCTTGTTCAAACTCGATGGACATTTGGTAACTTTAATTATTTATCCTATCCTTGTTTAGATGATAAAAGCAATTTTATCCACGATATAGTTTGCATAAGACATTTCTTTCATGTATAAAACAAATTATGCACCACAACAACATAAATTATTAATATGATTCACTTAATTCATTTGTTCTATCTTGCACTTTGTTGGTAAATTTAGGAAGAATGCATATTAGAAAAGCTCTTAATGATTTTTGCATGATTAAATTCTTTAGTGAATGCTGATGAATGCTTGATGACAAGAATGCAAGAGATGTCATTAGATTATCACTTCAAGATTGAGCAAGAAGCTGGGTCATCTGCATTTGCCTTCTTCGGTTTTAATGGTAAAAATTAAGATTAAATTTCTAAGAAAAATATTTATCTCGACTTGATATAAATAAATTTGGGTTTAGGAACTGCTGGGGTTTGGCGCATATCGACCATTGCTGATGCTGGAGGATGGAAGGATAGAACAACGGTTGAAGACATGGATTTAGCTGTTCGTTCAGGTCTTGCTGGTTGGAAGTTTGTGTATGTTGGTGATGTCAAGGTATGTATATGTTTTCCCAATCGTCACCCAAATTTTATAAATTTTGTTCTAAATTATATATTTGGTGTAGGATTTAATGTTGTCCATGAAAGATAACTAAACCTCAATTACTACATATATGAACAGTGTCCAAAGATATAAGAGAAAATAGATATTATTAGGAGTATTTATGAGAGTACGAGAGAAATTTAGATAAATTAAGTAAGAGGAAATTTTGTTTCTAAAGTACTAGATTGTATCAGACATTTGTTTTACATGTCGCCCACTACTTCTATTAATGTCAAAACCAATATTACAAAAATGAATATAAAGTTTGATAACATATATAAAAGTATGTTATTTGAACTTGGTGTACTAGATCTCTACATGGAAAGTATGATTTATAGGTTGTTTGTGAGGAAGAAACCTCATACAAAATGTATATTGAGGGCGAGTACTCATGACAAGACCTCCTAATAGCCTAACAAATATTTGGGGATAAAAGATGAGTTATTTAGAAGAGTAGGCTCGGCAAGTGAACAAATTGGTAACTTTATAGAAATGTCTGACTCATTAAATAATTCTATTATTGAGCTCTTGGTGGTGGTGTTAAGAAACATTTTGCTTGAAGTTTCATGTTATAGAGGTTAGAAAAGGTTATGAATCAATGGGTTGTTTATGATTAAGGCTCTTATGCTAATTTCCTCAATCTAACTTGGATGGATATGAATACATATATACTTAGCATATTTAATCTATCCTGATCATCAACATTTATAATAGGTAAAATGTGAATTGCCAAGTACTTTCAAGGCCTACAGGTATCAACAACATCGATGGTCTTGTGGGCCTGCAAATCTTTTCAAGAAGATGATATTGGAGATAATAGCTAACAAGGTTAGTATATACTTCATTCTCAATATTATATAAAGTTGATTGTCTTAAGACTCTAACATAGCACATATATGATATGTTATGTCCTTACATTTGCATTAACACAAAGTTACTTTACATTTAGGTGTTGTGGTGATCATTTTGATTAACTTTTGTTATGTGCTTCATAAATTGCTTTTACAGAAGGTTTCAACATGGGAAAAGATCCACCTAATTTATAACTTCTTCTTCGTTGGAAAGGTTGTTGCTCATGCATCCACCTATATATTCTACTGTGTTATGATTCCCCTCTCTGTTCTGATTCCTGAGGTTGAGCTTCCATTGTGGGGGGTTGCATATGTCCCACTAATTATTACACTTCTTAAATCAGTAGGAACTCCAAGGTATGAACATTAAAATAAAAAATTATCTTAAACCTATTCTTGTCTGAGAATATTTATAATATATTTGATATTGATGATTTAAATGCAAGAAATCTCTTCTATTTGATGAACAGCTCTTTACACCTCATAATCCCTTGGGTGCTCTTTGAAAATGTAATGTCCTTGCATCGAATTAAGGCAGCTACTATTGGTCTTTTAGAGGTTGGTCGAGTTAATGAATGGATTGTTACAACAAAGTTGGGTGATGCTAGCAAGACAAAGCCAAATATGGAAGTGGTAGTTAACAATGCAAAAGATTTAGGAGAAGCCAAAGTGGTAGAGCCGCTGCTTGGTGTATACAAGAAGCCTCAAGTTAGGATTTGGCAAAGGTACTAAACCTTAATTTAACATTTAAAATTTTTAAATAAAAACCAAGATGAAAGTGTGAAAATAAATTTTAGTTATTCTCCATATATCAGTCTCTCTCTCTCTCTCTCTCTCTCTCTCTCTCTCTCTCTCTCTCTCTCTCTCTCCATACACACACATGTTATTGGCCGATTCCTTGCTATCTATCATTTTGTTTACATATAGCATGCATTAAGGAAGCAAATGGAAGTGGTGTTGACCTTGAAAATTTTGAGAATCAGTGATGACATATGTATTTCTATTAATATATTTGAACAATATATGGAGTTTAATTTTGATGATTTCTTATTGTTTGTTGCATTAGATTTCATATGGCTGAGCTATGGATGGGTGTCTTCATGTTTATAGCAGGATTCTATGATATTACCTGCACCAAAAAAGGATACTTCTTTTACCTCTTCCTACAATCATCTGCATTCTTTATTATTGGTTTCAATTTCATTGGAACATCCATTAACATTTCTTGAAGACACTAGTTTACTAGTGTTCACATGTTATAAATTAGAGATGGATTTTTTTTTTTTTTTTTGTGTGTGCTCAATGTGGAGAATTCAAAGAAGGGCAATGTTTGCTCTATTATTAAGAATTGTAGTAGAAGAAATAATGAGTTGATTATTTTATGATTTGAAGGAAATAAGAAAACGGATCCTTCACAAATGTTGATATCAATGCTTGTAATTCCTCAAAGATGTATGCATGTATAACGAGATTCAAATAAATAAATTACTATATTCTTAGCGTTATAATTTATTAAGCATTATAATTGACAATTTCAGCAGAATATATATTTTTGTAATGGGAGTTAGCAAACATATGATGAAGAATAACTTGTTGGTTACATTATTTTAAGATATATTTGCTTCCTGAGGTCCTAGTAATATTTCTCTTTATTAATATGCTTTACATTCTAATCAATCCCTTACACAACATTTCATATATACTAAGCAAGGTTACTACCAATGTATTTATTTGGTGTAAATGAGCTAAGTAGTTGGTGAGAAGTATGCTAACTTAATTTCATTCATATAAAGAAAGGCAAGCACACTAATGCATGAATAACCAAAACAATTTATGTTTACCTAAAGTACCCACTATGATGCCTAGTTTTTCATGATAAATTATAGACAAAGGCTCTTTTATTTAGTTATAATCAGTTACTTCACAATGTGGGTTGCATTAGTGAAAAATAACATAGGCATAATAAAGTTTCTATGGGTATAATTACAAAAAAAATTATTGACTTGCCTAAGTGGAAGCTAAAGACTAAGAAAGAATCTTAGACCAAGTATTTACCAACCATTCTCTGATCCTACTAAGCAACACTATAAAAAATGATATGAAAAACTTATGTATTTTTCTTTGAAGTTGAAGTAGTACTTCTATTTGAAGAATATAACAAATCCATTTGGATTTAAATGACCGTATCTCTCTCTCAAGAATAGGCCTTGTGATGGGTATGATGACACTAGCAAGATATGTAAGTCTATGTAGATTTACTAGAATAAAAATATAAGGTTTCATGTCATATCAACCACTTGAAAACTCCTTATACTTTCTTCCCCAACTCCAATTTTTAACCAAGGAACTTTTAATATGGAGATCTTCTCTTCAAGAAAAGTAAAGTTGCATGTAGAGTTAAGCGGAGTAAGAGGTTTGCTCCAAGTTATTCCAACTCATTCAACATGAAATTAGTTGGAGTACCCGACATCATTGACCTCTCCTTTGACCCTCTTAGAGCTCACGAATCAAATCCTACATTCAATAACCCAAACTATAGAGACAAAATCTCATCATGATCAACCTACCTATGAAATATACATAGCTAACCCCTCCACTCGGTTCTCCTAGTGCTCAACTCTTCCTTAATTACCAAAAGCCTTCCTTCACATGATTCACTTCAATTTTGCAACACTTGAATCTTTTTTCCACATTTTGCTTTGCATGATTAATTTGTGCATTTCACTACCTCTATTCTTTATGTAAGATAACGGGGAACTAGGGCATTATATATCCCTCCACTCCCTTCAAATATTATACCCATCCTTCAATTGCACATCTCTCTTCCCCTTTAGCATTTTTAATTTCTCCTTTATTAGTGATTTATTTAATCAACTTAGTAGGTTCAATTTTTAAGTTGCCTTGGAAGAGGTGGTTGTGACTATAAAATATCAAGTTTAAGGACGTCAAATCTTTTCATCTCAATAGAAGATAGAAAAGTAAAAGAAGAGAAAGCAAATTAAAAGAAAGAGTGTAGAGCAAAACTTTTAAATGAATCCCAAGAAAAATATTTAAAAGCTTTCCAATTAATGTTGATATATAAATGAGAAAAGCAAGTAAATTCATATAACCAATCACAATTAATATGTGCCACCTCTTCAAGAATTAGTAGAGTTTTTTACAAAGCTTTCATTATTATTTTTTTTCTTTTAATTCTTCAATGAAACAAGAGAATCAAGGAGCTAATGTATACCCAATGTCATATGAGTTCTAGTTAAATAAGTTACATCAAACTTGTGAATCAAATTCAACTAAGTGACCAAGTGCTTGAACCAACTTACCAACAACTATAAGTTGCTTAAGGAAGCATTCATTTAAGGTCACCAAAATCAACTTACCATAAAATTATAGTCATCAAGAGAAATGATCAACTTTTTAATGAACTCGACAAATGAAGTCACTAAGTCGTCAAAAGCTACTCAACCATTCAGAATGAACTAGCCAACCAAACATGTTGTTGATGTTGTTAAGAGATCTTGTAATTAAAGTCTCCAAATAGTTCAACAAAGAAAGTTCTTTCTCGAATGATTTTATCAATATTGGAATTCATAATAAAATTATTTAAAAAAACTTGGACATTTTAACCTCAAGTCGTTTAAAGTCTTGTTATATAATTATATTTATATTATTTTTTATACTTGTTAGGGAGTTTCTTATATTAAAAATTGACAGATTTAAATCCAATAGCCATTTTTTTCCTAAGTAATATTCTTTCTGAGCGATGAGCATACTGTTTGGAGCAACCAAATTAATCTACGATATATTAATAAGATATTTAAAAAATGAAGCGACTATAAAAGCATCATTATACAAAGGCCCAAAGTTAATGTAATTGCTAAAATGAGATAAATATTAATAATTAATTAATGAAATTAAATAAAACTAGAAATAAAACAAGCAAGCAAGCATTATTATTTCAATCTTATTAATATTGAGAAAACTATTTTTATTGCTATATAATTGAGTATCTAGTTTAGTTAAATTACTAATGGATCATTCACTTAGATCATATTCTCCTGACAATTAAAGATAGATTCATATAATAATAGTTGATATGCTTAATTATTGCATAACAATATTTCCAACATATCATCTTTATTAAAAAAATAGTTATATTTTTTATATCAAAATTTATGCCAATGAGTAATTGCTCATCTGACATGATTAACTTCTGATTTAACATTTTAAATATATCATATTGACATAAAAACTTCTACATGAAAAGAGCGAGGGACTTCTTAAGTACATTAAGACGAGCATAATGTGTGGGACCTTTAGGGTTCAATATTACTATTTTTATGATTTTTTTTTTTAATTTTGTACAAAAAACTACTTTCTAGCTACAACAATTTTAAAAAGATGCTTTCTCTATATCATTTTTATAAAACAATAAAAAAATTATCCCAAACAAAGCCATAATCAACTTACTTAAAAGCTACTTCAACTACTAAAATCACAGAACTATATTCTTAATTGCATAAAGTCTGAAGATGTTGTAGTATAGATCTTTATTTATCCGATTAAGTGATCAATGTATTAGATTGCCCTTATAGCCAAACTTGAGTTACACTTATATAGCGTGATAGCCAACTTTATGCTCTCCTATGATGCAAAACTCAACCAAAGAAATTAAACTCATTTAGCATGGCAAAGATGTTCGAGCCAATGCCACAAAATAACATGAATGTCCTATGTATTTGTGACGATCTGACAATGTAACATTGCCCCATCTAATATGAGGGAGCTCTCAAGGGCAAAAAAAAAAAAAAAAAGAAATGGAGATCTTTTTTCGGGAAATCCTAAAATTTGGACTATTATTGAAGAACTAGGTCAAATAAATGGTAAGGTTGGGTCGACAAATTAATTAAGAAAATGTATTATGGGTCTTGTTCTACCTTAAACCACACCAGGCATCAAATTTGGATGGACCATGGATCAATTTTGCGGGTTAAAAAATTTACGGTGGCAGAGAGAGAGAGTTTTGCATCCTAGATTTGCACGAAAATCCATCCTACATATATATAAAAGAAACAGCTCGGATAGCATCAAAGATTTTTTATATGGAACACATAAAAATGGGAGAAAAAACACAAGGCCTTAACTAAAATGATTCCGCTAAGTGTACTTTAATTAGAATAATTAGCTCGTCTCTTGATTTGAATGCAACAAGATTATAAGAGTTCGGAGAATTGGCAGAAAATATGACTGAGTCCTTTTGAATGTTTGGGGTTGAGTGGCCGTAAGACTAGCAACAACAATCTGGTGGTGGATATCTAACGAAGGTGGTCGGGCAACGGATGGTTGGTGATGGTCCAACATTAGGGATCAGGCGATGGAGGTTTCATGGCGGAGGTCGGCAAAAAAAGGTTCAATGACGGCGACCGGGCAATGAAGTTTCAACTGCGACAGTTGGTCAGTTAAAAGTCCGATTGGCAGGGGGTGTGGGGGCGCAGTGGTACTCGAGTAGAGCTCTGTGATTCTTTAAGCCTATAAGTTCTCTTGAATCTCTAAGTGAAGGTATATTTACAGATTTTTGGGAGTAGCATACCTCATAAATATGGAGAAAATCCAGAGCACTTCATTAGACAACTTGCATGAATTATCTAAATCATTTTTTATTTACTATTTAAGTACCATAATGAAGTCGAAATTGAGTGATCTTAGGCTAATTGGATTTGTCTCGTCGAGCTACTCAATTTGGCTATAAGCATGCCAAATTAGGATACTATTTGATCATCCAATTAATATCCTAAAACTTTCAACTACTCTTCGTGCTTTGTGTTTGGGCTCTATCTAGCTCAGATTAAACCACTTCTGTTGTTGCTAAGTTCATCTCATCAAGACATTCATTTCAACTATAAGTATGTTAAAATCGAAGTTCATATGATCTAGAATTTAATATTAGAAGTATTCAATTCAAATATGACCCGATATTCATATTCGATCAAGATGATTTTCGATGGCGTATCAAATATGATCAAATTCATCATGTGCATGAGACTCCTATCAATATCATTTTAATTTTGACATATGAAATTGATGTATATGAACATTATCTTCCTGCTGTGATGCATTGATACATGCAAGGGGAAGAATGTCACATGACACGTAAAAGAAGCATTATAATTCCCCAAAGATAAGCAGGTTTTTTATCAAGCCTTTACCAGCAGATTTGTGCACCCAAAAAAATTACTTATTTTCGGCGGATGAATAGGCTAGAAATCCCACCATTAACAAATAAGCATCTTTCCAACTTCTTCTCCTTCCTCCATCCACCCAAAATATAAGCTCATCACCTATAACTAGAGCTGTAAGTGAGACAAGCCGACTCGTGATCTGGCTCGAGTTCAGCTCGATAGCTCGTGAGCCGGGCTTGATGAGCTAATGAGTTAAGCATGAGCTAGCCCTGACTTTACTCATTAGGTCGCGGCGGCTTGTTTAAAAAATATTAATGTAAAATATACCTAAA